GGAGATAATTTAAAATGTAAAGCAGTCTATGGCCATGCCACCGTGAACGTGTCCTATCTCATCTGATCTCGGAAGCTAAGCAGGGTCGGGCCTGGTTAGTACTTGGATGGGAGACCAGCTATGAAGACCAGGTGCTGTAGGTGCAAAAAAAAAAAAAAAAAAGTAAAGAGCCAGGAAAACAATAGAAAGTCACTCACACTTTGAAGCAACCACTATGTAAAGCAGTCTATGGCCATGCCACCGTGAACGTGTCCTATCTCATCTGATCTCGGAAGCTAAGCAGGGTCGGGCCTGGTTAGTACTTGGATGGGAGACCAGCTATGAAGACCAGGTGCTGTAGGTGCAAAAAAAAAAAAAAAAAAGTAAAGAGCCAGGAAAACAATAGAAAGTCACTCACACTTTGAAGCAACCACTGTCATCATTTTAGTATATTTCTTTCTCCATTTCTTGACATGAATAGGAAAATATCCTAAGTAATTATAATATACTGTTTAACAGAATATTATAAATATTCCTAGGCCAACAGAACTCTTAACCAACAACAGAACTTTGAGCTCTTGCACAATAAACCGTTGGCTATTTGGAGAGTTTACATTTTTTTCCTGGTACATTAAGCATCATGATGAATATCCTTGTAAATAAACATTGTTCACATTTCAGCTTATTTTCTTAGGGCAGATTCCAGGAAATGTCATTGCTGCTTAGAAGAATATGGAAATTATTACAGCTCATGATCGGTAATGCCAAAGAACCTTCCAGACAGGGTGCAGGAGTTTCCTCCCCCTACCCACACATCTCCTGCATTGACCAGTACTGGGTTTTAAAATCTTTCCTTATTGAATATTTAAAAATGGCATCTCCCTGTTTTAACTTGCATGTCTTTGATTATGACTGAGGTGGATACTTCTCTGTTACTTCTTACCGATGTTTCCTCCGTTGTGAATGTTCTGTTCTTACACAAGAGGATTTTTTGAACAGGGTGAGTCAACTGTTCCTTTGCTATTTGGCTCCAACAAACTGGGACATAAGCCGAGCAGGTCACCGGGACCTGGCTGACTCTAGAACCACCCCAGGCATTCAGATCATTTTGAGGAAACAGTATCTGGTCTTGTGATTAATGAAGGATCTGGACATTTACATAGAAATAAATCACTGACAAATGGAGCTTTGTCAGCCTATGAAATAAATCTGGGGGAAGTCCACCTATATCTTTACTTCGGAACCAGTGTTGTAAGTACGTTAGCACTAATCCCTCTTGGCTTGCTGTTGTCTTGGGGATGGGTAACCTGAACCCTAGAAAGAGGTCGCTTTTTTTCCTCATCTTAATCCTCGACATCCCAGGTCTGTGACCGACACGCATAATTATTTGATGAGATTAAAAATTGAGAAAAATGAGGTGGGCTCAGGAGTTCTTAAATTCTTATTGTCTGAATATCTGAAGCTCCATCTGACGGACTCGGGAGAGAGGCTCTCTCTCGCCTCCCCTTCCCGAACCTCGCCATCTCCTGCCAAACTAAAACGAGGACAGTCGTTTCTGACTCATGTTTGCTTGGACAGGCGCTGTGGGGAAGAAGCCCAGACAGGCTGCAGAAGAAGCCCATGTGTCTCTCTCTTTCCTAAGCTCCAAGAGGGCACAGATCACATGCCCTCTATACTCCACACTTAGCACTGTGTCTGCACATAATAGGAACTCAACGAATAATAATTGAATACATGAATTAGATTTCAAAAAGTCTAGATTAAACAGCAGGTAAAAGCCTCAGCCTCCAGCTCTGCAAAACCTTCCTGAGCAGCATTCACTAATCTTTCCAACTCATGACATGGCCGCATCTGGACGCGTTTCTGCCGGGATCCACTCAAGAGCGGGCTGTTTCCCCAAGCTGCTACCCCGTTCCACCTGCTAAACAAGCACCATGGTCTGCATCTGGTTTACTTGGTGACATAACTGGTTTGGGCTATGACCAGCGGAATTCGAAAGACCCTTCAGCAAACTTGTCCCTTGGCTTCCCTGAGATAAGATATCTCCTGTTCATCTTGATAGCTTGTGATACAGAAATAAAACACACCCTGAGAAGAAGAGAGGACCCCAGCACATGCAACCGGGTGCCCTGAGGCTCCCTTTTGCTGTGTGTTCTTCCTCCTACTATATTGTGTCCTTTGTTTCAGGAAAGCCTTAGATAAGCGTGCTCTGTGGAGTCTTGTCAGCCCTTCCAGTTATAAAACCCTTCGTAATTATTGGAACGGTAAAGTCAAAGAACATCTGAGGACTTCGTCTAGCCTGAAGGAGATAGGACAACCGAACGCCACTCGTGATTCTGAACTAGATCCTCCCGCTTCATAGGAGGATCCAGTTGGGGGGTGGGGAATTGGCAAGGATTAAATGGTGGTCACACGTCGACATGAATGTTCTGGCTGTGGTGGTCATATCGTGGTGAAGTGGGAGAAGGTTCCAATCAAAGCATTGGAAGGGATGTCGACAACTCTCTCACAGACGGTTCAGAAAAAAAAGTTCTTTTTCTGAAAATATTGCCTTGCTGGACCTAGAGAGTCTTGCGTTGAATGAAATGGGTCGGATAGAGAGAAAGGCAAATATCGCATGATTTCATGTACATGTGGCATCTAAAGAAAAAAAATCAACAACAACAACAACAAAAGTGGAAATAAACTCATAGATATAGAGAGCATTTAGAGGGATACTAGATGGGAGGGGAGTTGGGGGGACAAAAACGGGATTAAGAGGTACAGATGGATAGTTGCAGAATAGACATGGAGATGTAGGGCGTAGCATGGGGAGATGGTTAATAATGTAATAACTATATAAGGGAGAAGAGGGGGACTAGATTTAGTGGGGTGACCACTTTGTGAGTTATGTGGATCTCTGATCACTATGCTACACAAACTGAAACTGTGTATTATTGTATGCCAACTATAATTGAAAAAAAAATCTTTGAATTGTACAATGTAAACACAAGCAACTAATTGTCTATTATCTTTCAAAAAAATAATAACAAAAAGTTTTTTTTCTGGCACTAGCATTTCCATACATTTGAAATTGTTCCAAATCACACTCACATACATATATACAATTAAAAAAAAAATTAGCAATAGAAGCAATGCAAAATATGGGACCTCTAGGCAATTTTTGTTGAGCTTAAAAGAGCTTCCTGCACTTCCCGGATATCAGCTTTTCAATTTGTGCAAATGCTTCCTTACCCGCTGGGAAGAACAGGCTCCCAACAGAACCAACCCCATCAGACCGAATCAGCAAACAATCATAAAAAAGGAAGGCTTTGTTATCAACTACTATACAAGTTTTAATTATTTTCAGTAAATAGTCTCCAAAATTTAATTGCTTCATATTCAGTAACAGCATGCGGTAGTTTTATAATAAATTGTTCCTGGCAGGATCAAAGGAAGCTATGTTACCTAAAACTAAAATTTCATTGGGCATTACCCATTACTGGGATGTTCCTATAGCCAGGGTAAGCAAATCCGATTTTAAAAATGCCCGGGCCAGACCATTACAGCAGTTCTCTCTGTCATATTAGGAGAGGGCACTTCTCCCATCATTTTTTTTCATGTACTTGGGTCCCTAAGACAACATCTCAGAGCGCCTGCAAGCAGGCCCTGTCTGGGGTGATTGACAGGTATCTCCCCAGCACCCAGGCTACCTGGACCTATATCTGTAGGAAGAATGGGAGTCAAGCAGGTAAAGAGCAAGGTGAGCAGCATTCCAGACAGAGGGAACAGCCTCATTGTGACCAGGCTGACTGAGGGGAGGTGGGCAGGGGTCACATCCTAAGCACCTTGTAAGATTTCAGATTTTATGCTCAGTGCCCAGGGGAGGCAATGAAGGGCTCTGAGGAGGGGGTGATGTGAGTCTTTACCTGACAAGACTGTCACACTATAAGAGACCCCTCTGTGTAGAGAATAAAGTGGAGAGGGTCTCCGGTAGCTGCCCAGACGAAAGATGATGGTGGCCAGGAGGAGGGGGGTGGCCACAGGAGTGGAGAGAGATGGACAGATTCAAAATGTATTTTGGAAGCAGAATCGATGGGCCTTGCCAAGGAATATATCCTTGATCTGTGTGAGTCCAGCCTTTGTCCACAGCTCGGGTTAGATGGGGTGTTTGTGGGGGGTCATTTTTAAGGGTTGCCAACACAGTCCACCCATACAGGCCTCTGGGCATAGATGGGTTCAGCTGTGGAGTCAAGTTGGGCTCTCAGAGAAAGCTACGGATGTGAACCCTGTTACTCTCCCCGCCCCTGCTCCCCCAAAACCAAACGTCTTCACAGCCCACTGTTGCTGAGAAATGCTTTAAGAAGCCACATTAAGTCCCTTCTGGCACTTATTTTAAAAACATTGTCAAGGATTTTGCTGTCACCTCACTCAATCACCTCTCTAAGGAGACCTAGGAGAGAAATTTCTTCTAGTGCTAGTTGCTAAGAAAAGCTTCACGCTCCCCAAGGAAGTGGTATCTCTTTTTCTCTCTAACAGTAAGAAAAAAGTCCTTAATGGGGTCGCCCTGTCTGTTGCCAGGAAGCCCTGAGCCACATTCAAAGCCACGGCAGCTACATGCACCTGCCTTTGCTTCAAAGTCGCTGCCCTTCCCCTCCCCCAAGCCATCACCCCCACTTCTCTGCCAGGCTTCACGTCAACGCACATTCCCCTTACTCCTGGTCTGCATTGATTCTTATTTCTATTTCGCCATTTGTTCTTGGGTCTGCCTCTGTAGATGGAGGTGGTGGGCATGGCTGGTCCTTCCCACACAGCTCTCGCTCCCCGACCCTAGCAGAAGCTGGAGAACACTCAACCGTTTCATAGGAACCGCAGTCTGTTTGACTGCACCCCACTCCCGCTGTGCCCAGAGGCCCCTCACTCACCTCCTCTCCATCACAGCGATAGTCTCCACTAGGGGTCTGTTGCGGGTCTCAGCCAGGAAGCAGACGACCAGACCGGCCAGGAGCGAGGTGGCCCCGAAGCTCACAGGTGGCAGGATGGCATTGAACTCCCTGACTGCGGTGACCAGAGGTGCTACCAGGCCCCCGAAGCGGGCATTGACTGAGGCGAAGCCCATACCTATCTGCCTGTCGAAGAACAGTGGACATGTCAGTGGCCACGGGCTGGACACTCCCAGAGGGCCAGGGGTGCCCGGGAGGCAGAGCAGGAGAAGGGTGTTGCTTCAGCAAGCCAGCAGGTGTCACCAGAAGTGCCAGGGGCTCCCAGCTTGGGGCAGGCACTCCTCTGCCTCCCCCCACGCACCCACCTGATCTCTGTGGGGTAGAGCTCTCCTGCGTGCAGGTACATGCAGATGAAGGAGCTGGCCAGGCAGCCTTTGCCCAGTGCCGCCTGGGCCGTGCGCAGAGTCTGCATATCTGGTGGAGGGGAGAGGCAGAGCTGTGGGAGGGGGTGGCTCTAGCTCCAAAGGGGAACAGGGAGGCAGAAGCGGGTAGTGGTGGGGCTGGGGGACTCATGTGGGGGTGGGTGGAGGAAGGAGGCAGGGGGAGGCTTAGGGGCCGTGATGGGCAGAGCCGTGGGCAGGATCCCAGAACCTGGAGGGGGAGAGTCAGGATTTCCACCACCTCATGTTCCCACCTAGGACCCAGAAGTCCCCACAATGCCCTTCTCTGACCTCTGCCTCCTCCCTTACTTCCATCTGTCACAAAGTCCTGCTAGGGAGCCAGGACAAACTTTGGGGTAAGGCTTGGCGTCAAATCTCATCTCTGACCCAGCTGGGTGACCTCGGTCACTATTACTTAACCTCTCTGAGCCTCCCTATCTTCATCTGTAAAATGAGGGAAATACCAGCACCTACTCCACTGGCCTGTCATGAGGATGACACAATGTCGTGAGTGCAAAGTGCTCAGCACTCATGAAATGTTTGCTGTTACCACCATCATTAATACTTCCGTCATTCTGTTCATTATAAATAGCATAACCCCAATGGTCATGCCCAACATCAGGCAATGGTCAAGAAAACTCTGGGTTCGGTGGCAGCTTGGGCTGCACACTGGAATCAGGAGGGGAGACTTGATAAAGCACCCACACCTGAGCCCCACTCATCTCCGTTACATTAAAGCCCCTTGGGGCTGGGATCAAGTTTGGGTAATATTTTTATAGTTCCCCAGTAGAGTCTAATGTGCAGCCAGAACTGAAAACCACCAATCTAGATAAAATATTATATAATAATATATAATTAGGGTCATGAAACATTTGTACTAATATGGAAAAGCATGTTTATATATATATAAAACACATATAACATATAATGTGAAAAATGATACTTTTTGTATATATACACACATATAATCCTTTTTATATTATTGTATATAGACATATTTAATGGTACCTCAATTTTGCCAAATACGAAATCTATAAATGGAAAAAAGGTTGGAAGAAAATATGTCAAGATCCCAATAGTAATAATAATTTATCCAGTTTACAAGGGAGAACTGGAGCACAGAGAAGCCAGACAGCCCGCCCAAGGCCGTGGGGGCAGGGCTGGGATCACAGCTGGGCCCTTGGCTTAGCACGGACTCCAGGACTTTGCTACCCAACCCTGACGTCTTGCTGGAATCACTGGATAGTTTTTAAAATGCAGAGTTGGGCCCCACGCCTGAGACTGACTGCATTTGACCTGAAGCCCCTGGGCACTGGGAGTTTTTGAAGGTGACCAGGTGGTGATAATTACAGGTGGGTTTGCAAACAGTTGTTCCAGGGCCTAAGGCTGAGGTTCAAACTTGACCTTCTCAGTCCTTGAGATGCTGCCTGGCCAGGCTCCAGGTGGACACCGACCAGGTCCTTCGGCTCTCCAGCTGTTTTTATGCATCGTTCTAATCTCTCTGACAAGATGGTAAATGCTTTGAGGGCAAAGACCCGTGTCCTTTGTACATTCTCCATCATGACGCTGATATGAGGCACTGAGTCCTTAATAAAAATTCTACAAACTGGCAGTCATTTTCTTTCCGGTTCTGGAAGAACGCCTCTCTGTTCCCTTGTTGTATTTGTTGCCCACCAGACCTCAGACCCCAGAGGCTTTCAGGAAGTAAGGGCAGAAGCAGGTGGCTCACCTTCTGGCACAAACATGTTGGCGATCACCATGAGCCCGGCCAGGATGAGGAAGGAGGACACTGTGGCTCGGCGGCCCACATAAATCATGGTGGCAGTGGCCACCAGCATGGCTGGGATGTCCACGACCCCGAACAGGACCTGCACCAGGTATACGCTGAACCCAAACTTCTGCAGGTCCATGGACAGGCCATAGTAAGCCATGGAGTTGGAGAACCTAGGAGGGGCAGCAGAATGGTGGGAGACCACCCCACATGTCCAGCGACAGGGGACACAGCCCCAGACTCAAACCAGAGAACAGACTCTTTACCTGTTTCCCGGGACCAGATGCAGGGTTACATGTCTGAACTTTTAGTCCTCACTGGGACCATAGGGGCAGGTGCATAAGTAGGAAACTGAGGCACAGGAGGCCAGTTGACTTGCTCCTGGTGACCCGGGTGGTCTGGTCTACCTGAGCCCAGCTGGTTACCACTAAGGAGAGTACTTGGGTGTACTCAAGAGAACGGATAGTTTGTAGCCTGCAATCCCTGCTTCGCAAACATCAACCCCTACTATTTAAATGTCCAGGACATCCTGTCAAGCAAAACAAAATGGTTTTTGTTTTGTTTGTTTTTAAATCAACCCCTTCCCTTGGGATTTGCTTGCTTCCTGTCTGTGCTAACGGTAGAGGTTGCCTTAGTGTTTTTATTCATTTCATATCTTCATACCTATCTATGTACCTGTTGGAATTCCTTCCTGCTCACCTGGCAGTAGGGACAAAAAATGTGTCCTTGCCTCAGGTCAAAGACTTGGGCCTGAGCCCATCACCTACCAGATCACCATGAGACAGCACGTGACCTTGCGGATGCCTGGGGTTCGGAAGAGGTCCAAGACCGAGTTGGAGGCGCGGACGCCTGTGAGCTCATTCTGGATGTAAGAGCTCACCACCTGGGCGAGGAGAGCTTGATCAGGGGAAGAGAGAGATCTGGGACCCTATCTTCCTGCTGGGTAACCCTTCATCCATGGAGAGGAGGGCCAAGATTGACATCTCTGGCAAGATGGCTGGCCCTAGTCTCCTTTCTGTCCTGGGACTGATGACCCTCAAAGGGCTGTTTCCAGGGCTTTGGGATGAAGCGGAGCCCCCTGAGCTGCCTGTTGATTAGGCTGAAGTAGCTACCTGTGGTTCCCGCGGGACCGGGAC